GTGGCTCCAGGCTCCAAGTACCCAATTACATCCCAAGGTAAGCCCCCACTTGGAATCTACAATGCCATAGGAGAAGAGGAAAACTAAAGAACACATCACGCCGAGAAATAGAGATAAATATTAGAAGAATGAATAACAATTGAATAGAACTAGAAAGGAAGTTCCAAGTCAGAGTTGGTTGGTTAATACTGGTCGGTGACCTATGCTTCATTGGGATTAACAAGCGTTAATAAGTAAGTAATTGGGTAAGTAAGTAGAGCAATTATGATAATAAACTTCTGTTAAACATGGTAGCAGTGAGGTAGAATAAACAAGGGTACTAAAAAATTCTTTAGTCAGGGTAATTAATAACACTTTTATTGTTAAGGCCTTGAATCTTCATCATGAAGCTAAATAGGGACATTCTAATCGACGACGGATGTCACAGTATAATAAGATAAATTGTTGAAATTAAGATAAAATTTAATCAGGAGAATCGTAGAAACGGGAATAAACTGGTTGGCAACAGAAGATCTAGGGAAAAGATACAAGGGGAAGTAGATGACTGTAAAGGAAGTAAATTATGAGGCATTAAGACCATGGTGGAACAAATGGTTGTACCAATTTATTTTGAACATACAGTTCTGGTTTTTCCGGATGTATGGCCTTAGTGTGATGATTCTCTAGTATAATACTTTCTATGTGACATATATTTAGGATAACATGGATTGTTTAAGTTTAATGTGATATTTGTTCAGTTTGAATAAGGAGGATGAGTTTTTGTAGTAATTCCTTTCATGTGCGATATTCTTGAACTAATCGTCAAGTATGAGTAAAAGCAACAAACAAATGAATGTATTTGTGGCTAAAATCAACTTATTTTAAAGGATTCAAAAATCTAAATTTATCCCTAACTTTTATTTACTTTCTTTGCATCGTTTAAGAATTCCAGTGGTTATCTTGTTACAAGTAGTCAGTAGTACTCGTGAAAATAGAGTATTTTAACGCCTAACAATCTATAATTATTCTGGATAGGCACATCAGTTGATTATAAGCAAAGATGGATGGTGGCTAGTAATAGAATGCAGGATGCGCGTTTCGTCCTATTTGCTACTCATCAGTCCGATATATCTGCATCCCACAGTTGACGTTCATTCGAGGACTCGAACCCAGTGCCGTTAGCTTCAAATGCCATCACGTCATCCACTTAGCTACTGATTCCTGATAGCCATTAGCTTGTATAAATGGGTGAAGTTGAAGTTCATTATGTATTGTTTACTTATATCTTCCCATTGATGTTTAGGTCTGCAATTGACCAGTCACTTATTCTGCATCCTAGTTTGTTGATATTAAGGATTGTGAAAAGTTGTTAATTTTATACTGTGACTGGCAGATTATCGAAATGTTCCGTAACAAGAATATGTTCAGCTTATATGTTCAATGTTTTGATGGATTTTAAAATATCACGCTTTAAAATATTCACATTTCTAGAGTGAACAGGACTGGAACCAAGTTACTCTAGAAGATTCAAATGTTCAGTTTGGATTCCCTTCTGTATATATATCTGTTTAGCGTTACTTGGATAATAAGAGTTTAATTTTGAAAAAAGATTGTACACTTCAAAATTTTATTTACTTCAAATTACTTATTTACTTACGCCTGTTAACCCTCGTGGATGAGCATAGGTCGACCACCAACACTCTTCATCTAACCGTGTCTTGAAAAATCCTCTCCAGTTGCTATTTATCCTTTTCATGTCTGCTTCCGATTCCCGATGCAGTGTGTTTTTCGGCCTTCCTCTTTACAATTCCCTGTCACTATTCAAAGTTAGGCTTGCCTCATGATGCATTTTGGGGACTTCCTTAATATTTGACCTATCCACTTCTAGAATACTTTCTTAATTTCCTCTTCAGCTGGAAGCTAGTTTGTTCTCTCCCACAAAAGGCTGTTGCTGATGATATCCGGCCAATGGAAGTTGATTATCTTGCGAAGGCAGCTCTTTATAAGTACTTGTACCTTCTTGATGGTGGTTGTTGTAGTTCTCCAAGTTTCAGCTCCGTATAGTAAGAACTGACTGCCTTGACGTTGGTATTGAAGATTCTCACTATGATATTGGTTAAGAGACAGTTGTTTTGAGTTCCAGACACAATAATGGATAATATATATTCACAAATAAAGATCAAACATTAAGATAATCTCCTTGTTACATGTGTGAAAACCATGAATATTGAATGTTTGAAGAGAAAGGTACTGTGGGTTCAAGTGCTGATATGGACATCAGCACTGGTATGTAGCAGACACATCAGCTTGATGAGTCAGAAACATAACAAGACAACAGTTTCGAACCTCACTGTTAACCTTATTCATTCTTTTCTAAATTATCTTGTATTATAATAGTTGTATATCTCAGCAATTTTTACAGGATACATAAATGACATCAACTGAAATCAAGTCTCTTATTACCAAATACTGGTTAAGTTAAATTATTCCTAATAATAATATAAATTATTGCGAATGATTGTTCCATGTTGGCTGTATGTCTCATCTGAAATAAATGAGTTAAAATGGAGTTGTTAACCCTTTTGACTACACCTTTGCTTAACCACACTAGGAGTTTCTCATGAGCCTGAATGTACAAATTCCTAGAACATCTGCCAATATAAGCTGCTCCACATGAACAGTTGAATTGCTAGATACAGAAAGAGGTATCTAGTTTAGACAATTTATCTTTCAACCTCGGAGTGATTATTGGATATGTGGAAAACATTAGTTGTAGTTTACCTGCATTAAAAGTCCTTTGAATTGATCTGCCTAACTTTTAGATACGTTTGAAGATGAAACAAAGGAATTATACACAATTCTGAAGGAAAACGGATATTTTGAGGAATTTATAAATAAAACATAATCGACAAAAGACAGCATAGAGAATGCTTAACTGTGAATAAAAAGCCTCTGTATATACGCTTACAATTCAAAGGCCATAGTAATCTAGCTTTAACTGACTCATGAACTCAACTATTACATTCATTTTCTAGTCAATCAAACGAGTATTTAGTAAATGAGCACACAAATCAAGTCATTTCTTTTTTACTGTTTAAAAGAAATGTCATAACATTGTTGTTAAGTAATGTCAACTATAGAATTTAATCAAATTTACAATTTTCCCATTGTTTTTTTTCTTTCTATCTATTCCAAATTAATGAACGATATAATCGATGACGATATCCCTTCTCTACCACCCCACCCTTCTCCACCCCATACTACCCCACGACTTCACCCTCACCCCACCTCACCTCACCTCACCTCTACCGCACCCCACCCCTACAATATCTCACTATTTTAATTTGAGTTCTTATTTTCCTTTTTTTTTGTTTTCTACATTTTAACTTGGTTGTCATCTACTGAACAGTTCATGTGTTGATGTTACCATCACTAATAATTATCTAATCATTTATTATAATTAATAATGAAACTTTGACAAGTAAAGGTAAAGAATGAAATTACTTTATTGAATATTAAATTACCATTTTGTTAATTGTTATTGTTTGTTTTGAAGTTTAATGTTTGTCTTTGTGGTTTTCATTGCTTATGTCATAAGAGTAAACGGTTCTTATGATAGGTATATGTAAATAAAGTTTAATTTAAGCTTGCCATTCTATGGATTTAATTAGATAAGTGAATTTATACATTTTTAGATAAATGTTGAATGGTTTTAGAAATCTAATAAAAACCAGGAAACAGTGGACCTCCAGTTTTCAACTACTCAACGCTCACAATTCCACTGTAGGAAACTGGCCACAGGATCTTTGTATTGGCGGTGAGTCCTTAATCTCTGGACGACTGAGCTGGGAGCTATCTACATATGTGTAGTGTAATATTACTGATTGATTTAAGATAAACTTATACACCACTGAATGATGGGTCAGTGGCCAAGAGTTTAGGAGCTTGTCACAAGGCTGATAGTCTTGAATTCAAATCCTTCCAGTGTGATTTTGGATGTGAATGACTGAGAATTTCCATGAAATCGACAAAAAAGCTATTAAGTGCTATCTCGTTTTCGATTATGTTGGTCAAAAGCATATGTCATTTGTTGAATGTCGAATCAATGCGATGTGAAAACGATCAAATATATGTGACTGATCACCATATTATTTGGCATTATCTACATTTTAAACTAACTAACTGGTTTTTCACTGTGGGCCTGTGGAGATGGTTAAGTTTTATTGAAATCGTGAATCCACAAATATTAGACTACCAGTGAAAACCTTAAAGAACTGGATGGCTATTTGTTCCTAATTTGGGACTTATCAGAAGTCCACATCTACGATCCCTCACACGGGCCTAGAACTCAAGACCTTCAGTATTGCACAAAGATGCATGACCTCTGTTGGGGTGATCCAGAAGATTGCTTACAAAAGACAAGCAAGCATCGGGAAACACTAAGAAGCGTTTCATCCAATCAGCGTTCACTTGAAATCTTAGCCAAAAATATCAAGGAAGCGAAACGTCACATGCAGAGGCTCTAATTGGTTGGCTGCTACACTGCTACTATGTCTAGTAGCATTCAATCCGCAAGACTTATCACTCCAGACCAGTTAGCCGGCATCCAACCATGTTAATTTCTATTCTCAACTAATCCACGATATTCTGCGATCATCATCTGTAGTCTTAGTTGGGTAACTGAGCTACCTATTCCTGCAATCTAGATAATTCAACAAGTTATCTGTTTTCTTGTTTGTTTTCACAGACCATCATGTCAATTAATTGCATAGCCTATTCAACTGTGTTTGTGAAATGTTTACGATCTTTCGGTATACAAGTTACAAAAACATACAATCGGAGACATTTTGATGGATAGAAATTCGCATTGAGAAGAACGTACGTTATTCAGATGTCGATTGTCGAACTGATAACATCTATCTGATGATCACTCAATATTTATCGTCAGGATCGATCAAGAAATAAGAGAAGGAAACTTGTTCAAATGCTTTGTGCTGAGAATTTTATTTTGTACCAAAAATATGAACTTCAATAAAGCTCATACTAATACTCATACTACTACTACTACTACTACTACTACTACTACTACTACTACGACTACGACTACTACCACTAGTACTACTACTACTTCTACTACTACTACTACTACTACTACTACTACTACTACTACTACTACTACTACTACTACTACTACTACTACTACTACTACTACTACTACTACTACTACTACTACTACTACTACTACTACTACTACTACTACTACTACTACTACTACTACTACTACTACTACTACTACTACTACTACTACTACTACTACTACTACTACTACTACTACTACGACGACGACGACGACGACGACGACGACGACGACGACTACGACTACTACTACTACTACTACTACTACTACTACTACTACTACTACTACTACTACTACTACTACTACTACTACTACTAGTAATAATAATGATAATAATAATAATAATAATAATAACAATAATAGTTCATTGGAACAACAATTGATGAGCAGAGATGCTCTTTTATCAAAACATTTGAACTACGGCCATTCTAAGAAGATGCAAAATAATTGTCTTTTTCTTACCTTGTAGATGATGATGAATTCAAAATCTGTCTTGATTGAGTGACATGTGTTCAAAAGGTGTTCAATTATTGAACTTCTTATTGAGCCATTTCTCTCTCTTCTTAGCAACACCAGATAATGTTTTTGAATTCTTTCGGATAGAAATCTGCTTGTAATTATGTCGTTTGGGTTACGAGTTTCCATTTATTGGAGTATTAAGATTTGCACATTTACGATTGTATAACATTTTATCCCTGGGTATCTTTTACGCTTAACCCTTCTTCATTACACTGTATTGGAAACGATAGTAACGTTAGAAACATTATTACATACCATTTTAGTGAACGACAATACACAAAAGGGAGACAATTGAATACAAAATCACAGAATGTTTTAGTCAATGATAAAAAACATTCAGTGATTAATTCATTTATAAAATGTTAATCTATCATCTCACACTTCATTGTACTTTCATCTCCACAGTAATCATTATCTATTCTCATTCTCTTTTCTTCGATCTTCTTAACCATCTACAATCCGGCATTTTACTTTCAATTGTTGATACATACTACTTATATCTGTCATCATCAGCAGTACACATCACATGACCGGTAAGAAAAGAGGACAGTCGTAGGTTACTAGTATTTGATCATAAATGTCTTCGAAACATTGCTCATATATCCTGAGACCATCGAGTAAGTAACGCAGTTGTTAGGAAACGGGTACTAGGTAAGGATTGCAAATCCATTGATGAAGTAGTGAAACTTCATCAGTCGAGATGGCTGGGACATGTGTTACGTATACCCAAACACCGACTGCCTCGACGTGCTATGTTTTATGGTGTAGGAGTAGGTTGTAAGAAAGCTAGGGGCGGCCAGACCAAAACGTGGCACAAGTCCATGAACTCACTGACAAGTGAACTAAGCCATATTGGTAAGTGTAGACTACCTGGTTGGGGACCACAAGATGATAGCATCCGATGGTTAGAGACCATGAATGACATGGCTCAAAATCGTTTGCAATAGCGCAGGTGCATCCACTCTTTCTGTTCTCCCAAATTTTCATCTCCTGAATCCTCCTTGTCTCTTTTTTTCTCTTCCCAAATTTATTTCACTGGATTATACTCTTTAAATAACATTTCCAAACCCTAATCTTCCTGATTACTGCTTATACTCTTACTACCTCTTCCACTATGGGATTTGAATCGACAACTTCATCTCTGTGCTAATGTGGTATGGCTACTCAAACTGATGTACGTACGTACGACGTTCCACGTTGTTACTGACTGACTGACTGACTGACTGACTGAGTGCACATCACAATACATTTATTCATCGATCTAATCACATCATATAAGATAACAAGCAAATTTAATTTAAAAACATAAAAACAAAAAAATATATTTAAATCTAAAAAAACTGTAAATCACATTCGACCTTTGGTGTTGATGATCCATAATGATCATTTCCCTTTTTAATCATCATCATCATTTTGTTTTGCTCTTCAATTAGTTATCTAATTGTTCATGTGAAGATGAATTAATGATTATGACAATTCTATTCTTTATTATTTACATTTGAATGATTAGAAATAGTTGACCTGAATAAATAAAGATTTCCTATTTTATATTTATTATTTGATACAAATTTTTCATTGAGATCATAGAGTTGATTAATGTTAGAGAGGATTATTACAAACCTGAAAGAACTAGATGACTGTTTCATTTTAGTATAAGACTCGTCAGTACCGCATATTCACGATCTCGCACATGGGATTCGAACTCAAGAACTATGATCTCGCATGCGAACATTTATCCTCAAGATATCTGAGCTGACATTCGACAGTGTTAATGTCTTGATTCAACCAATCGACGATAATGTGTGACCATATTCTATTGTTTTCATTGGGTAACTGCATCATACCCAACAAGGATTAGCTTCACTGTTCACAATTTCTCATTAGAACTTCAGGATATCCATCTTGAAACTAGTCACTAGTGAGCATATGATAATTATCAGTATAGGGTTTTAATTAGATTATCCGTCTTTTTTTTATGCGAAGTCGTTAAAGTTCAAATACATTAGGAGGTTTAGAGGTTCTATGCTCAATTATTGATGAATCATGAGTAAATACTGTTGAGATGTCCCGTTTACCATGCTTTATAATGGCTACCAGATTAACTTGACGTTAATTTTGATTAAACCATTTTTTTTAAAAAAATTCTTGAAAACTAAGTAATGCCGAAACTCAGTTGGTGGTATGTGATAAATAACTAGAATAGTTATCCGAGCACAGACAAATCTCTAACGCGATAGAATCTAACAGTTGTATCACCAACAATATCATTATGGAGATTTGTGGAGATTGTAGTAACATTAATAGTTGAATTTATGGGTCGACATAAGCTAGACCACCATTAGAATTCCTAGAGAAGCTGTGTCTAATGGGGTTCAATCCATGTCAGGTAGACAGTTATCCACAGAGGACAATGAATGAAGGGTTGCACGATCATGTATCGATCGAAGTTAGACACTAACACCGTAAGATGCTGACTCTGTGGTCTAGAGATTAAGCGTTCGCGCATGAGATCGAAGGTACTGTGTTTGAGTTGATACGCACTAACTGAGGAGTCCTATTCTTTCAGGTTTTCACTGGTGGTCTAGTTTAGATCTACTCATGAATTCAACGATTAAAATAATATCACAGTCATTTTAAGGAAACGCAAATCTTTTATAACATATTAATAATAAACAATTACTGTACTTCAGTTCGTTTCACTCTAACATCAGTGTCACAATACAGTATTATTCAATCGTTGAAAAATTATCGAAATCAGAGGAATAGATTCTGATTGTAGTAAGTGATCATCAGCGATATCGCTCCAAATGCCTTGGTACGTCCAAGAGTGAGTAGAGTCCGCTCTCTCTCTCCAAATGCTCTCATGTGGCCACTCGTATATAGCCTCAGACAGGGAAGTCCTACTCACTGCCTTCTCGTACAATGGGTGTTGTTTACGAAATTGAGAGGACGAAAAGCGAATGTTCGACGCTTTAACCGATCCGGTGGACATAGAGAGTCCACTTAGAGGAGTTGGAAAACCCTCATTCCAAATCAATGGTGCACATGTGCTCCAGTATCCTGAAGGAACAAATCGCGTATAAACCAATCGTTGGTCATCGGCTCCCATGGGACTGCATCTCCCTACGTTGCTCCACTGCCTTGTGGGTCAGACCTTCAGGTCGAAGGCTCCGGGTGTGGCCCCCTAAGAAAACCACCTGTTTCGGTTTGGCCACCCGGGCAGTATCACGGCCCTCACACATATCAAATGAGATCTGTGTGGCGCATATGTATTTGGTGCCTCCTTGTACTAATATCTATGTGTTAAAATAAATAAAATAAATCAGCGATATCAATGTTCATCTATATTGACAATGGCTATCTAGCCAATTTTATTCTATAACAATAATTATTCAAAAACTTAGTCACATAACCATTAGACGAGTGATATAATACCATTTTTTCTCTCTCTAATTATTCATGTTTAATCACATAATGTGATTTTAGTCCATTGTAATTCATAAGAATATTTGAATTAGGATTCCATAAGTTCCCTACTGTGGGAGAAGACAAACCAGTCTCTATTTGAAGAGGAAACTAAGAAAAAACATTAGAAGTGGATAGGACACACATTGAAGAAATCACCAAACTGCATCACAAGGTAAGTCCTAACTTGGAATTCTAAAGAGAAACATAAAGGAGGAAGACCAAAGAACACACTGAGTCGAGATTTGGAAGCAGACATGAAAAGGATGAACAGTAACTGACAACAATTGGAAAGGATTGTATAAGACAGGGTTGGATGGATAGTGCTGGTAGGCAGCCTATGTTCCTCCGCGGGAAGTAACAGACGTAAGTAAGTAGACGATGATATGTTTTCATTTGATCCATTAACTACTGGTATACGATTTACCGTTCATAATGTATCTCCTATCTAGTGGTTTAAAATCTTGCATATACACATTGCCACTGCTGGATTGATCTTGTATAATTTTTATTTTTTATTTTATGGTGTGTTGTGGTCCGGTCTGCCTATATATCGACTAAGTATGCCTGAAATATATTATTCATACATTGGAGACCAATATTGTGTTCTGAACTCAACGGTCAGGTCTAAGCGAGAATCTTACTGTATTGAGGACTAATAAGGATTCATAGTTAACTTAAGTCTGCTAGTGTTGGTTGACGTGTCATTGGTTTGGCACAGGAACAATGTCACAGAAGTCCGTATTCTGACTGGCGATTGGGTCACGTGATATTTGATGTGCTGAAGGACAAAAGATTAACTTGTCACCTACTCTCTAAACTGTTGCAAAGTCCATAACAATAAATCAACAATGAGTAACTATACTTTGTAATTGTACTGCACTGACAATGTTACCCAATACAGTATTAACCAGTTACAGTGAAATTATGAACATCAAACAAAATGTTTCCAATTTGATCACACAACGATCAACTGCAATAATGTACCACATTTTAATAAACAGATAAACAGTACCAATGCTTATCTCATTTGGTATGTAGTATTAAATTCCTTAAAACTTCGATCGTCAATCTCATCTGTCTTCTAAAATTTCTTGACCGGTATTCAAATCATTTTTTTCAAAGTGGCACCGTATAGATTAAATCTTGCATTTCTCTATTAAAATGGAGGTTACTATCGGTATCAATGTCAAAATTGAACGTGATAGATTCAAATAAATTGAGCATTGAATAGAGAGATAATAGTAAACATTTCTTTGTTATATTCTAATGGGTGGAAATATTGCATTTCTGACGTTTCGCAACTTCATGTAAGCCACTTTTTCAGAGCACATGAATATGTTTTTTAAGTACTCTTCATGTCAACAGTTGAGATCATGAGTCAATTGAAGTTGGTTGAATTTAGACATTAACACCGTTGGATGCCGGCTCAGTGGTCTAGAAGTGAAGCACCTGTCGCGAGACTGATAGGTGCAGCGTTCGAATCCCGCGAAGCGAGGTCGTGGATGCGCACTGCTGAGGAGTCCCATAATAGGACGAAACGGTCGTCCAGTGCTTCTAAGTTTTCTATGGTGGTCCAGCTTCACTAATCTCAACTGTTGAAATTACTACAATTTCCGCAAAACCCCTTCTGATACTATTCATGTATTTG